GTCTCTGAAGACAGCCACACATCACAGGAGGAGGTTTGACGCCATGACCTCGGGGTTTCTGCTAATCCCACATTATACAGCCAGAAAGAGAAATGGGGTTTGACATTGGTTTCGGCGGGTTGGAAGGGCTCCCTGATATTTATCTAAGATAACACTTGGGTACCTGCTTGGCAGTGGTTCACGCTGTACCTGGAAAAACTTCAACCACTACCTCACCCAGGGACATGCGGTTATCCCGTGCTTGAAGACAATACGCTGAATTTAGGATTTTCCGTTTCGCAGACAGGTGGCTTTGACAAGTTCATAGCAGACTAAAACAAAGAGAACTGTGCACAGCATCAAAGCTTTATGCTCTGCTTTTGTCGTAAGACTACCCTTCATCTTATAAGTCAGTGCTACCCCTTTTGTTCACAAGAGATGCTTTATTCAACTAATTACAAATCCGTGTGATTGTTAGAGAATACACCCCATTGCTGGAAGACCGAGCTGTGATGCTTGATAATCATAATGTAATGGTATCTTAGGGTGAATCTAAATTCATGCATGCATTCATTAACCCATATGTCATTAAATTTAGATTTTTAGATGTTCCCATCTATGAGGGAGCTACAGAACACAGTCCTGAAAAAACACAACAGAAACACTAGCCAAGCAGTGCCGGGCTCCAAGGACAGGCCAACCAATGCAGGGCTCCAAGGACAGGCCCCAACATGTTGGTTGTTCTTCTCTATGTCACTAATGCATCAGACACTGTGTTTAGGGAACACTAATTTACACAGAGCGAGTATGTTTGACAGAGGAAGGCTGCATAACACCTCCAGAGCAATGTTAAACAAGCACCTGAACACCTTCTGTATGTTGTGTAGGAAACCGTTGTCTGGACACTGTCCAGAGTTGCTGGGATCAAGGTCCTGAGCTCCCAGTCTCCTGCCCCTTCCATAACCAAAGTCCATCTTTCCTTCCCAGTACGTGGCTACGATCACATTGATCAAGAAGCAAATGTAATCACCTCTGTGCGGAGCCCTTTCCTTTCCCTGAGAGCGCTGCCAGAGCAGCCAGCCGGCTGTTTCATACACGCAAGCAGCCACAGCACGGTTGAGAGTAACCCCACCATGCCTTGGTGGGCTGACACAGCCAGTGCTAGCCCAGGGGGACAGCAGCATCTGATGCTCCTAAAACAGGAGCCTCTGGCAGCTCTTACTATTCCTCACCTTTCAGGCAGAACAAGCCCAGCACCTGGGCTCTCCCCCCTAACAGTGACCCTAAAGCCCAGGAACCGTGCCACATCTTACCAGCATCACAGCAAGCCCGGTGCGGGATACACAGATTTGGTGGGAACACTTACCTCCAGCAGCTCCCAGCATCAACTGGAACAAAGAAACAGGCACAGCGTCGCAGGGAGACAGCCCAGCCGTGTGTAGTATTTATCTCATCTGCACGAAACCACACGGTGTGCTGTTTCGCAAATGCAGGAATTCAGCTCCTTGACAGTAGCTGGGTGTCCCTTTTCAGCGCTCTCAGCTGTACACAGCGTGGCAGGATGCAATGGGAGGAGCGAGGAGGATTGCCATGGTTCACGTGGACCTGCTTCCCTCACAGGCAACAGCAGCCTCAGAATTCTTGTCACAGCACCTTTCACCAGCACCAGACACATGAAACACTTAAATCCACCTTAAAGGGTAATGCTATACCTTGTATGAGCTACTTGTTACCTTCCTGCCCTATGCAAATGGATGTTTAAACCCCTGTACTGTCAAGAAGCTCATCCCTGCACAGCTGACTCCTGTATTCTCCCAGAGAAGGCAGATGAATGAAATTCAGAGCAAGCCTGACATGCTGACAGTCCTATCACTCATGCCTCAGCAATAAAGCTCTCAAGGCAACACTTGTAAGAACAGCAGTTTTTCCTAGACCTCCCTTTCCCCCCCAGACCGCCGTTTTTCTCTTGTTTTGGATGTGCAGAGAGCTGCTTGGGCTACTACCCACACCAAACAACATCACACTGGCAGCAGATATTCAGAGAGCGCTTTCCCCTCCAGGCCAGGCTGTACTATCAGGTACAGTCCATCTCTTCTAGAAGCACAAGACAGTCAAGCGTAGGGGTGCCAGGATGGGGAGTTTACAGCGTTTCTTCCTTAAGGCTGTCATTAGAAAGGTCCTCCTGCATGGCAAACAGGGACCTGCTTTCCCTTACAGTCACCCTCAGCAAGACTGATGCTTCCTGAGCAGGGTTACCCTGCACCACTGAGTAATTTTCTCCCCCACTGGACTAGTCTGCACTGGAACTACGGTATTTCTGAACTTAGCAATTAAAGTTCCTCAGTGCAAGACCCAAGACGTTTGCACAGTCCTGCACCACTGAGTAATTTTCTCCCCCACTGGACTAGTCTGCACTGGAACTACGGTATTTCTGAACTTCTCAGCAATTAAAGTTCCTCAGTGCAAGACTTTTTGCACAGAGTTCTGCAAACCTACACAAAACAGTCAACAACTATAATCTTTGAGACTTGATTCTTTTTGCATGGTTTGTCCTGTTTTTTGGGTGGGTTTTTGTTTGTTTTTTTCCACCTCTTTGTTACAAAGATGCTCTGAACAACCTGCATTAGTCAACTGCAGCAGCAGCGCTGTGGATCAGCAAGGTATCGAAACACACTGGCCACACAGGATATCTCAGAGTATTTTTATTTAACAAAAATAGCTATTCCATTAGAAACCAACAGCGTCAACATGTTTACAGAATTTCATAGGCATCAGTAACTCTGCATACAGCTCCAGACAGGCTTTATAGTCACATCATCACCACAGCAACAGCACAAGTGTAGGAACCTGAGCAACATCCAGGTGTTGCTTCCATACATTAATAGGCTGAAGACGCACACGGTGTAGCATGCCTCTCTATTGCAGTCACCACAGTTTCATTACTTTGGTAGAAAAATAATTGTTATTGCTGTAATTCATTAGGTTTTTTACTTGTTTTTAAATAACTGGGTCGTTCCCCATCAAAGATTTGTTCTCTGTATGAAAACTGATTAAAACTGAGCTGCTGCTTCTGGTCACTTGACACGAGTGCTGTAGACCCACTCCTCTGCCATCAGACCAAGGAACCCAAAGGACAGGATGTGCGCTTACTATCCATTTTCCAGGACAGCTCATCAGCCAGTATGCATGGCTTCAGATTTATTTTTTTTAAAAACCAAAAAAACAGTTAAGAAAGGAATATACACATGGGTGGCTTCAAGTTTCCATTTCGGTATAAGGCAGTTAAGTTTACACGTGTAAATGCCAGTACATCTGAGCCCCTACGTTTAGGGGGATGTTTTAGGAGGCAGGCTGCAAAACACAGAGAAGGTTTGAGGAGGGGGTTCCCCTGAGCAACCAGCCTGGAAGGGCTCCCCAGACCCCACACAGCACATCCCAAACACATTAATCGTTCCCCTTACGTGGTAAAGGCTGAGGCTCACGCAGCGATGAGAAAGGCTGTACCTGTCCCAGCCAGGGGACAGAAGCCTTCCCAACCCTGATGCTACAAAGCCTCCATGGTGCTAAAAGCAAGCGATGAACCAGAGCTGCTGCTTCAGGCTCTGACTGGGAGAAGCTCTAACCAGCACACAGAGAGAAGGCATGGAGGGAAGCACGCTGCATTGCATCTTCTCCCTAGCCAGTTCTCCCATACACTGAAACTCACCACAACCTGCACAGCAACAGGGACAGTCCACAGTATAGTACTGGTATCTGTTGCTGTACTGGTCACGGTGCCCGAGTATTCAGGTGCCCAAGCCCAGGACAACTCCGTGCAACTCCTTCCCAGCGCTGAAGCAATTTGGAAAAAATAAATTACTTTTAAAAACCAGGTATGAGGCAAATCCCAAATTGCTTAGACTGGAAAAAAAATAAAATAAAAGAACTGCCCACTCCAAACATTCATTGTCCTGCTTAGGTGGAAAGAAGAGGTAGAACTAGTTGACAGAGACCCACCAGAAGCATAAAGGCATTTTAAAGTAAGGGGGAAAGCTGATAGACCATAATTCAGCATTTTTCAAAATCTCAGGCAGTTATCCTGCTAACTACCATAACTGAAGGTGTCTGTTTAGTCACCACAGTCACCATTCTCCAAGGTCACAGAAAATAGCTTAAAATCCTGCAAGTCACCTTCCTTCTCAGTGCTGTACTAATATCCACCATCCCACTGAAACACTCCAGGGTCGTGAGGCAGCGACTCCTGTAATCACAGGCCTCTGCAGTCCTAAAGGACAAAGGCGAGGATGTCCAAGAGTCCCTCAGATCAGCATTTTGTCTCCTTAAACTCCCTCTAAGCTTCCTCTCTAGCTTTCCAGTCCCTTGGGCACAGGCAGCACTGCTAATAGCCAATTCACCAGTGTCACAAGTTGCCCCAGGACACAGTTAAGTTTTTGAGAAAGCACCGTGATCAACTATGGTAAAACTCTGGCAGCGGCGGCAGGCAGACAGGATCAGCAGAAACAGTACAAGCAACTCAAGGAGGCGTGTGCATACGCAAAAACCTAAGTGTACTAGCCCTCAAAACAGAGCATCCAGCATCACAGGGCAGGCACAGGCCTAAGGCCACCTCCTGTCCCAGGCCTGGGGCTCTCCACAGAGAGGTCTATTAGTGTGCCCTCACTTCTGCCCTGCAGCAGCACCTCAGTGACAGAGAGTAGCGGTTGACTAGACAATTGTGAAGCTGCCTCTTCAATGGCAGCCTCAGACTAAAACCTCCCAAGGCTTTCAGTCTTCAAGAGAACTTAACTGTTCTTTGCTGCACATCCCATATATGCAACAGAAGAACAAAAGGCATTTTAGAAAGAAGATATTTGTTCTTACTTACGTAAGAGCTAATACATTTACCTTCTAAAATGTGCTACTAATATAGTATAAATACAGATCAAATACCATTAGGGTGACTGCCTTGGGAAGAAAAGGCAGAGATTAAAAAACAGACCTATAGCTTCATATGTAGCCACTGACAGTCTTCAGTTGGTACACTACTGGCTTTCAGGAGATCTGCTTTGCCTCTGCTCTTGTCTTCTGTAAGCTCTCATAATACTGTATATGCCACTGCCCAAGAACACCAGCGAGATGGCCGCAAAGTAAGAGGCATAAATCATGAACTGTAGAGAAGGGGAAAGGAAAAAAAAAAAAAGTGGTTAAACCAAGCAGTTACCAAATTTGTAAGATGTTTGACACATGAGCTCCCTTCCTCTTCTAAAATATCAGGAATCCACAGTTATTCTGTTGGCAAACCTTTGACTCAAACTTTACAGCCTGGTTTACCTTCCTCCCTCCCATCAGTAAAGCCAGGAAAGCCTATTGTACCTGGGTGAAGATGTCCAACCCAAGCCCGCTGGCGTCCACAACAATCAAAGTGAGCAGAGTCTGAAGTGCTAAGGCAATGAAAGTGTTGACCCCAAACACCAGGGCGTACCGTTCCACGCTAAGATTTGTAGCAATCTGGAACCTGGAAAGAAAGGGATATCCAGAAACATAAGAACGTGGAAAAAGCAGGGAAATGCAACAATTGGAGGAACATCTCTGGGCAAGACGACTATGCAACCTGTAGAGTTACATAGACTGGTCCAACACTTTCCACAGCTAAATTACCTCACACTGACAATGTACTTCTCTAAATAGGATCATAACAGACTAGCATAGAGGCTAGGCAAGACCCACAGAGAGATCTAAAAGGCTAAAAAAACACCTTTGGGAGCTCTGCGGGTTTCAGCCTTACTGAAGCAGTACTCCCCTCCAATGCAGCTAAAGGGTCTTGTCAGGCAGAGACGACACAGCACGCTCTGATCCCAGAGAGCTGTCGGCAATCTCAAAGCATCAGCCTGCTGCAGTGTGGTCCATAATCTCCTGCATTCTTCTTACCAGAACTCCTTCTGCAGTTACCAGTTTCAGCATTTCATATTGTGCTTGAGGTGTATTACAGGGGTTAAGTATGTGTGGTTCAACAACTGTTTTTTCCTCCCTAAAGTAACAAATAACATGGAAGAAGTTTTCCTCCTTACAGGCTAGGGAAAGCTGACACTTCAACACAGGCAAAACATTGTCCTCTCCTCATCTGTTAACGCTTCACTCCAGCCGTGTTCATGAAAAACATTCCCCTGGCAAACAGCACTATCTAGTATTTAGAAATAGTCACTTTAGTGTCATAAGACTTTTGAGCCTGGGCAGGCTGCCAGCCAAATATATCTCTGTGCCTCAGTTTCCAACCTGAATCACAACACAAACTCTTACAACAGATTTCCAAATTCCTGGCAGGAGAGACCTTCATTACATGGAAACTGCGCCAGCTTTCACACCAGCTGTAACCTTGAGAGCTATTTACATTAAAAAGATACTCACGTTGCTATTGTGATTAGCAGCATGTAGATAATTCTGAAGACAACGTATGATGCATAGCACACCCAGATGTTACGAACAGTATCCATGATATATACAGCAGCAGCAATAAGAAAGGAGAACAGGGCAAGTGCCACCTCACCCCACATTGCCCAGGATGTTTTTATGTGACCCACAACAAACACGGCAACAGCTCCTGTAAGGGGAAGGAAAGCATAACTGTTAGTTATTACAAATGCAGGAATTTGGAGACTGTGTGTTAGAAGCTGTACATCCCCTAATAGCCAAAAAATTATTGAGTGGAGGGCACTAATGTACAGACCTTAGCAGCCCTCCTTCCTCACCTCTCCCTCACCTAGAAACCTGCTGTAAACTCCCATTCACTTTTACAGGAATAGGAAAAACCCCCAACAGGTCAATACCGACTGCGTCTGAAGTCTCCTCCCTGGCTTCAGAAGCACAACAGCCCCAGGACTCAGACCATCGCCACTCTGCCCTCCGTGCTTGACCGTAGCAGTGTTGTCAATTGGGCTACAGAGAAATGCAAAGCCTGGTTCTCAAAAGCACTCAGCTAGTTATTTTGTGGTGCTTTAGGGGGCTAGGAGGGAAGAAGACACTACCCACTTTGATAGACAGCTGCTAGAGCTCTCTCCCAGGAGGCAGAAAAACCTACATTTACTGTTACCTTCATGCTGGGCTGTAAGAGTAAGTAAGAGCAGGGGTCCAAATCCCCATCTCCCGGGATGCAACCTAATCACAAGCTACAATCATGCACTGTTGATTGTGCAAGAACAATCCTTTACAGCCAGAAC